TTGCTCTGGAATGAGACTTCTCGCCTCCCATCCTCTCCATTCAAGCTGTGCTCTCTTGTGCCATGTTTGAAACTTGCATAATGATTATGTAAAACTACCCAGAGAGCACTCTGTCTAGCACATGCAAGTCAAAATAACTACAGGGAAGCATGGTCCAAGCAAGAAAAGCAATGGTGTGAGATTTCTTCTGGCCCACCCCCCACAACCTCTGCTTGAGGCCACTACCTACTAGCCCACCAAACAGCTGCCGGGCATACTTGACAAGGGAGACTTTTGTGGAGAGGATGGTGTGTACGTAGAGTGCCCTCTGACACAGCACCAATCAGGTACCAAATCAGATTTTTAAAAATGTAATTTAAATAGAATTACAATCCATCTCACTTGACGGGGGAAGATTATGACCAGGTGACCTGCGTGCCTGATAAATTGGCTGTCACAGTATTAACTGTGCAAGTTCAAGGTCCCTGATCTCCCTCCTTATGGAAGTCAGACCTGGACTGCCCTTCAAACAGCATCATTGTTGTTGTTGTTTAGTCGTGTCTGGCTCTTTGTGACCCCAAGGACCAGAGCACACCAGGCCCTCCTGTCTTCCACTGCCTCCTGGAGTTTGGTCAAATTCATGTTGGTCGCTTCAGTGACCCTGTCCAACCTTCTCGTCCTCTGTTGTCCCCTTCTCCTCTTGCCTTCACATTTCCCCAACATCAGGGTCTTTTCCAAGGAGTCTTGTCTTCTCATGAGATGGCCGAAGTATTGGAGCCTCAGCTTCAGGATCTGTCCTTCCAGTGAGGACTCAGGGTTGATTTCCTTCAGAATGGATAGGTTTGTTCTCCTTGCAGTCCAGGGGACCCTCAAGAGCCTCCTCCAGCACCACAATTCAAACAGCATCAGGCTCTCCCAAAAGGAGACCAACCAGTAGCAACCTCTCAAGGGGTGGGCAGCAAAAGAAACCATCCAGCCACCACGCAGGTGGCTCTTTCCCAGCTGAACCCCACTCACCACAGCACTCACCAGCAACAGCCATAAACAGCAAAAGCTGGCTGGTGGAAGGGCTGTGGGGGGTGGGGAAGAGATGTGGGCCATCTGGACACATTTGTTTATTTGGATGTGTGAGTGTGCTGTGTGAGCCTGTGGAAGAAAGTGGGCAGGAGAACCCGGCTGTCATCCACCCCCAAAACCAGCTCCTGACAAGGTGCAGCCTGAAACTTCCACAGCCCCGAGATGATCTCAATCCTTTCAAGTCTCCTCATCCACTCCCTCTAGAGTCAGTGATCCGATGCAGACTTTGCTTTTCCTTCTGTCCAGATATTTTGCTGCAAAAAAGACACAAACCAGATTCTTTTCATGCAGAAAAGCCAGTAAGAGACCGGTGCTGGAACAGCCCCCTTTGATGCATCCTCCAGCAACAGGTTCGCTTGGGTGACGCAAGACAGCCTTGATGGCAAGCAGCTTTATCCTGCCCTGTTTCGCTGCCACCTCCCAGCATCTGCTGTTAGGAGCAACTCCATCCCTCTGCCTAGTGGTATGGCATTCTACGTGATCGATCCAAATTTTATTGCCTTTTAAAATCAACTTGTCCTTGATTTAAATGTTCTTGTACAATGGAATTGCAAGATGCAAACAAGATAAGCAGAGGGCCCATTCCAATGCACGTTATGGGGCAGCTCAGTTAAAAGAAATGGGGGGGGGTTGCAGGTGGGGAAAACAAACTAGCAGCCCCTTCCAGACTCATTAGCCTGGGAAGGCAGCCCATCTAGGAGCAGGAAAACTCTGATTTCAAACCTCCACTGCCTTGTAGCTATGTCTACTGGTGGAAGAGGCTTCAGGAGTTAACCTCGAGGCAAAATCCAGAGCCAGAGTCCTGGAGGCAGTTCATGTCATTCTGGCAACTCCTGCGACATTGCTGGAACCAGTTGTATTGGCTCTTGCCTTTCCATTGGACCATTTCAGCGACGTGGAGAGGGGGGACTTGCTGCTTGGGTTGCAGCCTATCCTCCATATTATTTTACCCAGGCTTCGTCCTCTGGAGAGGACTCTCCAGCTTCACATACAGTGTCGAAGTCCTGCATACAGAGCATGCTACCATAGTCTCTCAAGACTGAAGGATGCGTATAATGTATGGAAGTGAGAGCTGGACCATAAAGAAGGCTGACTGTTGAAGAATTGCTGCTTTTGAATTGTGATGCTGGAGGAGACTCTTGAGAGTCCCCTGGACTGCAAGGAGAACAAATCTCTCCATTTTGAAGGAAATCAACCCTGAGTGCTCACTGGAAGGACAGATCCTGAAGCTGAGGCTCCAATCCTTTGACCATCTCATGAGAAGAGAAGACTCCCTGGAAAAGACCCTGATGTTGGGAAAGAGCGAAGGCAAGAGGAGAAGGGGACGACAGAGGATGAGATGTTTGGACAGGGTCATTGAAGCAACCAACATGAATTTGACCCAACTCTGGGAGGCAGTGGAAGACAGGAGGGCCTGGCATGCTCTGGTCCATGGGGTCATGAAGAGTTGGACACGACTTAAGGACTAAACAACAACAACAACAAGCCATGATGCTTCCAGGAGAAGAGAAGCTGATGAATAAAGCTTGGGAAGAGCCTATATCTTCAGCCAGATTCTAAAGGTGGTAAAACTAGAAGGTAGGAGTAATCTCAAAACTGATTCTCTGTTTTCTGAATGACTCATAAATTCGGGCAGTTAGATTTCAGAGTACTGTATTATTTATGCTTGCTTTGGATGAACAGCTTATAATTTACAATGTGCAGGAGTATGCGGAACAAATTGCATTTTAATACATATTTTTATATATATTTTCACACCAAGTTGGGGGATGTGTGCAGAAATATTGATAATGGTATTGAGGTAAATCCAACATTAGTCCTACCTACAGTACCTCTATTGAAATGAACGGGTCTTCAAACACCTAAGTCATCATGACCATTTCAATGAGTTTGCTCTAGGCAGGACTAATAATTGTATTTCACCTGTTGAGTAACAGAATGTGGGCTTAGGTAAAAAGAAGAGAAACAAAGAAAAGCAAAAAACGAACAGTGAGGTAAACAATTTTCAGTAGTTAGTAAATGGCATTTCTTTAACTCAATATAACCCAATGCAAGAAAAAACACAATTAAATCCCACTGCGTTAAGTAAGAACCACTCCCAGTAAGTATGGAAAGGACTGTAGGCCTTGAGGCAATTCAGCCCCCAAAAAGTGAACAGAAAACCCCAGCCAATGCACTTTTCTCTGGAAATTTTTTAATGGAAATAAGAGCCTGGGGTTACTTTCATTTTAAGTCTTGTTTTATAAATTATACCATTTATATGCACTGGCAAAAAAGCAGCACTCAGGGCAGCTTGTAACATTTAAAAATTACAATCTATGAAAACAATTATATAAATCAGCCAACCATGGAGACAGAGTTAGTTATTAGACTCCAAAACAGAAGGACATTTCTCTGTCATACATAACAAAAGCTTGCCAGACTAAAATGCGATGGGAGGAAAAAAAAATCGTATTTCTTAGCAGATCGAGAGAGTGCCACACATAGTCACGAAAAGAGCCTTTACTAAGAACAGCAGCGGGCAACGCTTTTCTGCTGTGAGGACCAGAAGCTTCTTAGTTTTATATATGTTTGGCTTTTTAGCCGTGGTTCCCAACTTTGGGTCCCCACGTGTTCATGAATGAAAACTCCCAGAATCCTCTGCCACTAGTTGTGCTGGCCAGGATTTCTGGGAGTTGTAGTCCAGGAACATCTGGGGACCCAAGGTTGGGAACCGCTGCTTTCTATGAATGGACAGAGGGGTCCCAACCGTTGTTCTCCTTCCTAGCGTCCAATTCAGGTGGACGTGAAATCACAGAAGAGACCCTGGGTGACCATTTTCTGCTACACTTGCAAAAAAAAACCCTCCAAAAAATCAAGTTGAAGTGGAATCTCAACATCTGCCAAGCTTGAAACATACACATCTGCTATTCATTTGTAGTTAAACATGAGGACGATGCTGAAAACTGTTTGCTTTAAACAACGTTGTCATCGACAAAACAAATACATTATTCAAACGTTTAAACAGAGACAGGAGGTTGCTTTCTTTAAGCTTCTTTTTTGAGGGGGACAACTTTCTGAACCATATGTTTTTACTGCTTCATATACTGTTTATATTTATTAATAGAATACAAATAAATAAATAAATAAATGGGAGACCAGTGAGAAGAAAAATACAACCGGGTCTACAGTTCTACTTTGTGTGCAGATAATTAAAAGTTGGACTACCAGCGGGTCCTGTTGCACCAGTATTTCAATTGCAGGTCGGATGTTTTACTTGGGACGTTTTTCATCTGCTACCATAGGAAGCATTTTGATGTGCAATTCCTCTCTTTGCAAAAGTGGTATGATACAAAGAGCTGTATACCATTCTTCCGAATGGGAAAATGGACTCTTCGTCCCATCTTAGGAGACTTGAGATGATAAATTGTTTAGACTTCCATTGCACGCCTTGGGATGGTTTCTGGGAGTTGCAGTTCAAAAACATCCGAGTAACAAAGGTTAAGAACCACTGCTGTATACCATTCTTCTGAATGGGAAAATGGACTCTTTGTCCCGTCTTAGGAGACTTGAGATGATAAATTGTTTAGACTTCCATTGCACGCCTTGGGATGGGGCTGAAATATGCAGAATTTGCTGGCTGGAAAGTTCACTGAATTAAGGATCCAGCTCTTGAGCCAAAGATTAAGAGTTTGATTTCCCCATCGTGCCTCCAGGGGAAAAGCCAGCCTGTGCAGCCTTGGGCAAACTGCAGAAATCCCATAGCGTCCCCCAGAAGAAGGCTATGGGGAACCACTTCAAAGAATCCTATACCTAGAAAACCCCGTACAGTGGTGCCTCACTTAACGACGATAATCTGTTCCAGGAAAATCGCCGTTAAGCGAAAACATCGTAAAGCGAAAATAAAAACCCCATTGAAACGCATTGAAACCCGTTCAGTGCATTCCAGCGGGGTAAAAACTCACCGTCCAGCAAAGATCCTCCATAGGGGCAGCCATTTTCGCTGCCTGTATAGCAAGGAATCCGTCCCTAAACACAGCGGGGAGCCATTTTAATCACCCGGTGGCCATTTTGAAACCACTGATCAGCTGTTCGAAAAACATCGTTTTGTGGAGAATCAGTAACAGAGAAGGGAGATAAAAGAGGAACTCTGATGTATACCTCTGTGTAGAAAACATGCCCTTGGAACTTCCCTATTGACCTCTGTCACCGATGGTGTAACCTGCACTGTCATGCTATCTGACTCATCAATCTCATTAGCAGTTCACTGATTACTGAAAAAAAAAGTCTGAATTAACTGATATATGATGGTTGCTGTGGGTTTTTCGGGCTCTTTGGCCGTGTTCTGAAGGTCGTGCGTCCTAACGTTTCGCCAGTCTCTGTGGCCGGCATCTGGCAAAATGTTAGGAAGAACGTTTCGCCAGAGACTAGTGAAACGTTAGGAAGAACAACCTTCAGAACATGGCCAAAGAGCCTGAAAAACCCACAACAACCATTAGATCCCGGCTGTGAAAGCCTTCGAGAATACATTAACTGATATCCGTAATTTATATTAAATATTATCATTCAGCATATAGATCCTTCCCTTCTCCTCCCACCGACTCTTCTGTAACAGTGAGACTACTTTTCGTTTTCTTCAACGAGGAGATATAGTGAGCGAGCCTGGTGCCTCTTCCTTCCACGCAGAGCACTGTACTCAGCTTGCAAAAACGATTAAAAATTTCAACCCACTTGACCTCTTAAAGCAAACCGAATCACGCAAGACATGCACAATATAATTATGATTTATCATTGAAGCAAGGGTAATAGACTTAAAAGCCATATAAATGCCGTATCGGTGTTGAGGCGTCTACTGAAACTGGTGCTTCCAAAACTCCTACAATGCTCAGGCCAGTATGAGCAGCGGCTACGCTCACGAGTGGTGGATGATGGGAGTTGTAGTAAGAAAACAAAACACATAATTCCAAGCTATGAATAGTCCTCTTTCCAAGTAAAACTCATGGTATCAAGAGGAAGGGCAGCCATGAAGGAACTAGAAAAGATCGTCAAGTGTAAGGATATGTCACTGGAGACCAAGATCATCCATACTGTTGTAGTTCTGATCACCGTGTATGGATGTGAAAGCTGGACAGTAACGCTGACAGGACAAATTGATTTGTAATTCCAAGCTATGAATAGTCCTCTTTCCAAGTAAAACTCATGGTATCAAGAGGAAGGGCAGCCATGAAGGAACTAGAAAAGATCGTCAAGTGTAAGGATATGTCACTGGAGACCAAGATCATCCATACTGTTGTAGTTCTGATCACCGTGTATGGATGTGAAAGCTGGACAGTAACGCTGACAGGACAAATTGATTTGTTTGAAGTGTTCACCGTGTATGGATGTGAAAGCTGGACAGATGTGAAAGCTGGACAGTAACGTTGACAGGACAAATTGATTCGCTTGAAGTGTAGTGTTAGAGGAGAGCTTTGTAGATCCCCAGGACTACCACAAGGACAAAAAAAAAGTTTGTCCCAAAGCAAATCCAAGAGCGAACAATCTCTGGAGGCCAAAGTGTTGAAACCAAGGTTATCCTACTTTGGGCATGTCATAAGAAGTCAAGATTCTCTGGAAAAGACCATAATGTTGGGAAAGATGGAAGGTAGCAGGAAAAGAGGAAGACCAAGTACAGGATGGATCCATTCCCAAAAGGAAGCCACTGGCTTGAGTTTACAAGAGATGAGCTATTGAGCACAGAATATTTTGGAGAAATTTTCATGGGATCACCATAAGTCAGAGAAGACAGTATGTAACAATGAGAACATCAGGAGGAACAGAGGTATGATTTTAAATGTGCACGCTTTTTTGACCACACCAAACCAGTCAGAATGGAGACCGGGCACGTTCCAGCTCTTTCCAAGTAAAACTCATGGTATCAAGAGGAAGGGCAGCCATGAAGGAACTAGAAAAGATCGTCAAGTGTAAGGATATGTCACTGGAGACCAAGATCATCCATACTGTTGTAGTTCTGATCACCGTGTATGGATGTGAAAGCTGGACAGATGTGAAAGCTGGACAGTAACGTTGACAGGACAAATTGATTCGCTTGAAGTGTAGTGTTAGAGGAGAGCTTTGTAGATCCTCAGGACTACCAGAAGGACAAAAAAAAAAAGTTTGTCCCAAAGCAAATCCAAGAGCGAACAGTCTCTGGAGGCCAAAGTGTTGAAACCAAGGTTATCCTACTTTGGGCATGTCATAAGAAGTCAAGATTCTCTGGAAAAGACCATAATGTTGGGAAAGATGGAAGGTAGCAGGAAAAGAGGAAGACCAAGTACAGGATGGATCCATTCCCAAAAGGAAGCCACTGGCTTGAGTTTACAAGAGATGAGCTATTGAGCACAGAATATTTTGGAGAAATTTTCATGGGATCACCATAAGTCAGAGAAGACAGTATGTAACAATGAGAACATCAGGAGGAACAGAGGTATGATTTTAAATGTGCACGCTTTTTTGACCACACCAAACCAGTCAGAATGGAGACCGGGCACGTTCCAGCCTAGCAGATACAAATGAAGTCGAAATGCAACTATTAGTCATCAGCTCTATTTCTATGGGTGCCAACTCGTGCTTCGGCAGCTCAGCTCCAGCACGCAGTGCTTCTTGCCAACATCCCGTACTACAGATTTGGAAGGACAAGGATCTGCCAAATATCCAGCCCTCGGCGGTGGAAAGAGTACACCTGGCCTCCGGGGCCCGGATCGCTTATAGAAGACAGTCTGAGACGTGTTTGCAAACAGGTAGGAATCCATTGGTAAAACACTTTCCCATTGTGTTTTGCTGCCACTCAGTCATCCAAAAGTTCCACCTGCCTTATTTCCATTTCGCATGTGTGGGCATAGATGCCATTCTTCCCTCTTAATGTTATGTACCAGGCAATGCTAATTAAGCTGTTAACAGAACAGGGTTAAAGAGGAACATACGGAAACTGTAAATTAACATTATAAGCAGGACATGAAACATATTGTACTGCACAGTGCTCTTATTCGGGGTCCCAGCCAGCCAGCTGTGCCCTTTTCCCGACAACTCCATTCCATTCCCTCTCCTCTATGCAGAATAGTCAGCGCACCGTGAAGCGATGCAAGTCTTCAGAAAAGTTCCACCTGCCTTATTTCCATTTCGCATGTGTGGGCATAGATGCCATTCTTCCCTCTTAATGTTATGTACCAGGCAATGCTAATTAAGCTGTTAACAGAACAGGGTTAAAGAGGAACATACGGAAACTGTAAATTAACATTATAAGCAGGACATGAAACATATTGTACTGCACAGTGCTCTTATTTGGGGTCCCAGCCAGCCAGCTGTGCCCTTTTCCCGACAACTCCATTCCATTCCTTCTCCTTTATGTAGAATAGTCAGCGCACCGTGAAGCAATGCAAGTGCTACATAAGAATCCACACAGGGACACTGCGTTGAATGGATTATCATTGTCTAGAGAGGCACCAATTGTATATATATTTCTGCAAATGTTGGGGTTCTTCCCAGCCTTCTGCTACCATCCTCTTTTCTTAAATGTGGATAATGCTGTTTTGGCTACATAAAAATCCACACAGGGACACTGTGTTCATTATTAGCATACAGGATATTTGCTGGAAATGGAGCTGGAAGTGGTGTTATTTTGAAATGCAGCAAGATAAAAACAGGACCACTGAAAGGGCCCAGGTGGCGTTATCCTGTTATAACTCCACAGAAACACACATTGCAAATACACAGCTGGACAGATTCTTCTCAAAGATGAGATTTTGCAACCCCAAACGTTGAAATAGTGAGTTAAAAATAATGTTTCTTGTAATATGCAAGGTTCGGGAGGTAAAATTCAGGACAACCTCAATTGATTTCTAAATAATTTCCCACAGAAAATTGTGATGTCCTGTTTTTGAGTGGGAGCTAGCTGGAGAACCCAGTGAGAGTTAGGTATCTGGCTGCCGAGCGAGAGGTTGGAAGTTCAATTCCCTCACTGTGCATTCCAGAAAAGCCAGCCTGTGTAGCCTTGGGCAAACTGCAGAGTCCCAGAAGAAGGGAATAGTAAACCACTTCTAAGTATTCTCTACCTGGAAATCTCTGAAAAAGGATTGTCATAACTCAGAATTGAGTTGACAGCACACAAGTATTATTACTGAGTGGAGGAAAAGAGAGATGCTATCCATCAGAAGCAAATCTCTTGCAAGAGATTTAAAAGGTTAGCATTAAATTAAGCGTTGCCACATTTGTGAGAAAGGCCAGTTATTCTTCCCATTTCAAAAACAAGGAAAGCAGAGTCGAGTGGAGTTAAATGCCCAAGGTCGGTCACCATCTCAGAAACCAGACAAGGAACATTAGCCTTGAGGCCTCCTGACTCATCATCTACCCTCATCTTCCACCAAAGAAATGTCCAAGAAGTGTCTCAAAACATAATTTAGCACACTACTAATTAAATGCGCAGTCCAAGCGGGTAGAAAGGCAGCAAATCTATATTTTTAAATATTCTTAAATACTGGGCCTGCATTATGCATGAATCTCAGAAGTGTCTAATGTGGGAAACATCACCGGAGCACCGACTGATTTTGCAAATTACTGTTTTCTAATAAGGCAAGAGGATGCAAGCGAGCGACCATGGATTCAGAGGGCAGAACAGCGAAGGCCAGGGGCTAACTGTGGAGGGCTGGATGCGCATAGGCACATAGACCGAGGAGGGGAGAGGCAGAGAGAAAGTGATGTTATAAGGGCCCTTCACCACTCTTAATTAGAATTTGCAGACAATTCTGTTAGTGGTTGAAGCAAGTGGGTTTTGACCTCCCTAGAGTGCGCACAGAAATAAAAAGAGGCCACTTGTTTGCTCCAAACCCCTTTATTTAATCCTGCAGTTCATACTCAAGTGCGAAGCAAGACATGTTTCCCATACAGCACAGTTTAAGGAAGACGTTTGGAGAGAAACTCGCATCCTTGTCTTCAGGCACTCTGGAACTGCTGTGAACAGCCAGCAAG